CAAATATTAATTTGTAATCTAATGAAAGTTTCAAAATTAAATATCACTGATAAGATTAAGTCTTCAACTATAAATCGAGCTTATCATTTACTGACTTTATTATAACGATGTACCTTCAATATGTCTAGCCAAAAATCTTGGAATACTATTTCAATGTTTCAGCAGTGAAGAGGCAATGGGAATGTGTTTTTATTTTTTTACTAATATTATTATTTAGTTCATAGTTCGAGTCGCTGTATCTTTGCAACTCTACCAGACAGCGGAATAGACATAATCACCTTCTTATAGCACGATACGTGCTGCTACTTTACCTGATACTAAGCCAGAAGTTAGTATACAGCTTATGAAGAAAACTGCGGATTGGACAAGTGCGAAATTTTACAATAGAGAAGTATCCAAAAATAACTCGGCCTTTTTTGCTCGCTCTCTTTACAAACATTTTAAATAGATTTTTAAATTACCTATCTAGAGCTAAATAATAGTATTTTATTTTATTCTCAAATCAAGTGTTACTATATTAATTTACATTAGTATCTAAAAGTCAGCTATTTCGTGTAGCTTTAAACATCTACAAGTGTGTCAATGTAATCTCGAAGGGCGAATCACAGAAGTATAATTGAAAGTCAAACGAACTTACCTGTAAGTGACGTTCGACTTATATTATACGATGTGATTCGCCCGAGAGATTACACACCCTCCCTGTCCCTGATCAGCTATTCTATGAAGATATCTAGATCTTACCCATGGTCACACGAAATAGCAAGAACCAATGGACCGCTTTAGTCCAAACGTGTATGAATATGTGGAGTTACCCCCAGTGCGAACGCATATTTTATATTTTTTTTGTTATATTTTTTAGGCAAAGGTTAATGTTGCTCTAAAATTGTGTACGATGGCAGCACATAATGCGTGCTACTACAAGTGTGTCAATGTAATCTCTCGGGCGAATCACATCGTATAATATAAGTCGAACGTCACTTACAGGTAAGTTCGTTTGACTTTCAATTATGTCGTATTAAGTATAAACTCGACAAAATTTCGTCTTCTGATGATTCGCAACTTAACAGGCCGATTAAGTCGCAATGTCACTTACCGCCCATTGAATTGATGTCCTTTGACGGAGACGTTCGCTCGTGGCCGCTCTTTTATGCTGGGTTAAAGAGTACTGTCCATGATAATGATTCCCTTACTGCCTCACAAAAACTTTATTATCTAATGGGTAAACTCTCAGTTAAGGCTCAATCTGTGTTTGCTGGGATTACGCCTTGTGGTGAAAATTACGATCTCATAATTACCGCGCTTATTGATAAATATGAAGACAAACGAACGCTTGCTTCGAAGTACCTCACGCAAATATTAGAACACAAACCATTCTCTTCGGCATCCATAAATAACTTTGAGTGATTTTTGGATAAGTTTGTGTCTTCAATTAACGCACTCAAACATATTAAAATCGATAACCTGTTGGATTTTATATTTTTACATATCGCTCTTAAAAAATTGGATTCGGAATCCTTACGATTGTTTGAATTCAGTTCGAAGTCTGTACAAATACCTACATTTGATAGCTTAGTAAGTTTTATTAAGGATCAGTTACGAGTTATGCAGAATGTTAATTCGCTTTCCAAGCCAGACACTTCCAGTTTCAAAAAGCCTAGTAGCTCACATATAGACAAGCCGCATAAATTACCTCAACCACATGCTTATATAGCTATTTCTAACTCGTCGCGTTGTCTGTGCAACAATATAGTACATGATTATATGTACAAATATCCAGAGTTTTTGCGAATGACACCTTCTGACCGGTTTAAATCCGTTAAAGAACGCGACGGCTGCGTAAATTGCTTAAGTATTAAACATAAAACTTTAAATTGCAATTCAAATATGAGGTGCAAGCAGTGTTCTAAAGGTCACCACACACTTTTTCATTTCGAGCCCCGTAACTCTAATTTACCCGCAGCTCCAGTGTCGAACCATGTACTTTCCGCTATTGAATCACCCGCGCACACATTGAGTGCTACAACCAACGCGCCATCGCGCCGCACGTCATCCGAGTCTGTAACCGCGCGCTACTGTGATAAGGACGCGTCGGCGCAGGTGTCGATGTGCAATACGTCCATTGCCGCCCGGAATAGTCGCGAGCTAAGCCAGCAGTATAATAAGCCCGTAACGGTTTTGTTGGCAACGGCGGTGGTCGTAGTTTATGATATTTACGCTAAAGAACATTACGTTCGTTGTTTGATAGATAGTGGTTCGCAGAGTCATTTTATTACAACCGATTGTTCTAAACGTTTGGGTTTATTAAATAATTATACTTAAAAGTACTAAAGTACGCATTCTAAAGTAAGGGGTATAGGTGGTGTTGAAAAATCCGTTCACGGTTTAATCAATATTCAATTCTCATCTCGTTTCAATAAAAATATAAAATATAATATTTCTCCGCTCGTGGTCGATGTAATCACGGATAATTTACCCATAACGTCGGTAGATGTCTCCTCATTACCTTACCTATAAGGTCTCCCGCTCGCTGACGAGTCTTTTGGTAAACCTGGGCGTATTGATATGCTTATAGCTGCCGATTTATTTTCTCATCTGCTTCTTCCGGGTGTCGTGCGTAGTAATTGTTTCACACCGCCCGCCATGCGCACCACCTTAGGTTATGTGGTCATGGGCACGGTTCCCGTATTGATGCAACCGAAAAATAATACATCTCTAGCCTATTGCTGTACGGTTGAGATTGATACCATGTTGCGAAAATTTTGGGAATATGCTGCCAATATCAGATAAGGCACAATACTCATCGGAAGACATTGAGTGTGAACATTATTTCAACGCGACTACCACGCGTGATAAAGTGAGTGGTAGGTATACGGTTTCTTTGCCGTTTCGTTCTGACGTTTTTTTGCTGGGTAGCTCATTGGAAATCGCGCGCAAATGATATTTTTGCCTAGAAAGAAAACTAGATTCTGTTTCTGGTTTGCGTTCCGATTATAATCTAGTTATACAGGATTATATAGACAAGGGATATTTGTCACCTTTGGCGGTTTCAGTCGATGCTTACGATTGCCGTCCTGATTATATTATACCGCATCACACTGTTATACGCATGGATAAATCCACCACTAAGATACGAGCTGTTTTGGACGCTAGTTGTAAGACAACTTCAGGCGTTTCACTCAACGACATATTACACAGCAGACCTAATCTACAGGCCGACCTGTTTAACATTCTTTTAAATTTTCGCCTTTTTCCAATCGCTTTATCTGCTGATTGCAAACAAATGTTTATGCAAATTGAAGTCAAAAAAAGTGATAGGCGCTTTCAACGCATACTTTACCGCTTTAATAGTAACGATCCGCTTCTGTTGTATCAATTTAATCGCGTTTGCTTCGGTTTGAAGTCCAGTCCATACCATGCGCTACGCGTCATACATAAGCTTGTTGAGGACGAGGGGGACAATGGGGACGAGTTTCCGAAGGCCCGAGATATCATTAATAGATCGCTGTATATGGATGACGTAGTTTTTTCCGAGATATCGGAAGGTTTGTTGGTGCTTCTCAACAATTAATAAATTTGTTCAAAAGGGAACAATTTGATTTGGTTAAATGGTCAAGTAATTCTAAGAAAGTCTTACAACACATACCCGCGTCTCATCGAACCGCCGATTTAATTGATTTTGATAAAAATACCGACCAAAAGGTACTTGGCCTTCATTGGTCAAGGACAAATGATTATTTTGAATTTCATATTTTTCCTCCTGATAATCGCTGTACCAAGCGTATTATACTTTCCACAGTCGCTCGTCTGTGGGACGTCATGGGCTTCGTTGCGCCTGTCATTGTTTATGCTAAATTATTAATAAAGGATTTATGGTTATTATAAATGGACTGAGACGAAGATCCACCGCAACACATAGTCGATATGTGGCAAATATTTTGCGATACACTTCCGCATCTCAATAATTTAAAAATACCGCGTCACTTAGGGGTGTACGAAAGTTCAACTTTACGTTTGGTAGGGTTTTCAGATGCCAGTGAGCGCGCCTATGGTTCGGTTATATACGCTCATATTACCAAGGGTCATGAAACTATTGTGAGGTTAGTTTGCTCAAAATCTAAGGTTTCCCCTGTAAAACCTGTGTCCGTAGCAAGGTTGGAGCTTTGTGCTACTGTTTTGATGGCTAAACTTCTACGACGTGTTCATGACACCTATAACAACCGCCATAGTGTGTCTGCAATCTACGCATTCACAGATTCTAAGGTGGCCCTCTGTTGGCTAAGTTCACCTCCTCATACTTTCGTCTCAAACCGCGTTGTGAAAGCTACTGATAGCTATTCCCGATGAAAAGGTACATTCTTATATTGTTTCCACTTCTGAAGTTTTTACATCTCCTATTTTGTTAATTGCGGATCGCGTTTCTTCGTGGTCTAAGTTAATCCGCGTTATAGTTTATGTGCTTAGATTTATTAAAATTTTACCGCACCACGAAAATTGTTTCTCATGTGAGTGTTTTCCTCGCTTCTGGCAGATGGCGCGGTCTATGGTACACAGCTGATCGTTAAAAAAACTGTTTTTTCGCGGGCGCAGATATGTGACTGATGCAAAAAATAGATAAAAACAATCCTTGATCCGGATTTTATATCATGTTAAAATTTCAACTCAATCGGTGCAGAACTTTTTGAGTTTTTGAAGCGTACACAAACCAACATAACATTTATATATATATATAGATATAAATACTATACATGCCGCCACATCACTCCCCCCCAGAGACCGTCACTACGGGCGATAAAAATCTGGTAAACGTAGTTTGCGACCAGAACGAATAGTTTTTTGTTCGGGTGTGTTAACTTTATTTTAATTTTATTATAATATTTTAATTTTGAACGGGATGTCGTTCGTCTAACAGTACATAGGCTGATTTTAATCCTGGCCTTTATTAGAGACTACTTTTTCAGAGCTCGAAGGACCAAAATTTTTTAAGTGTGTTTTGTGTACAGTTTTGGATTTACTGCGTTGTGGTGAGAGCGAGTTCCAATGCGACAACAAAAAGTGTATACGGAGGGAGTTCCAGTGCGACGGCGACAACGACTGCGGCGACTGGACCGACGAAGATTCGTGCCCCATGATGCCGGGTAGCTGCAACGCTGGAGAATTTAAGTAAGGACCATAAAAATCGTGATAATCAACCATAATATATGAAAGCAAAATGAAGAATTGCAGAAGCTTCTTGAACAATCACAAGATTTTTCCTTGTTTTCAACGGGGAATAAAATGTAATAAATACTGGGAAGACATTTTAAGAAAGAAAAAAAAACATTTTATTCAGTGACACAAATTAATACACGAAACATTATGCCTTATACCTAAATACAATAATTTAGGTCTTAACATTTGTTGTCACTAAAAAGGTAACCCACTCAGCATGTGTCGGATGTCGTAGCGTAGATAGTCCGACGCTGGTCTTCCGTGGTTAGCTTAATAAGTAAGAATGAGAGCACCAATAGCTACATCACTTAGGAAGGAAATTTAATTAAATATGACGATGGGAGAACGTTAGTTTATTGAACAAATAGGCAGGTAAAACACGTTGTGTGTTTTAACAATACTAAACAAAAGACTGGCAAAATGAAAATAACATCTAGACTTCGTATTCATTAAGTCACTTTTATTTAAATATGGGGTTACATGTTCTCTTCGTGGGACACAAGTAGAAACGGGCACAGGCATTCTGGGCGCGCTGGATAAGCTTTTTGGTATAACCAAAGAGACACTCACCAATAACGACGTCCGCGTGATTGAGTTTTGACAAAATTAATGTTTCAGAAAACCTTATTCTAGTGTCAACATTGAGATAGTCACGTACTTGGAACAACACCTTGAGCCTGTAGAAGCAACCCTTTGCGGTCTGGACAACATGATTGTGAATCCTAATTGATTTTCAATGAGAATTCCCAAACTCTAGCCCCAGCGTCCAGCTCGATAAAGATTTCACTTATTTTTATAGCGATTATTATTACTTGAAATTATCTGATTTCCATTATCACTGGTTAATTCAACACGCTGTGAGCGGCCACTGAGATAACTATACTTCGACTTTTTATTAGCTGCAGTAAAATGACGTTTCAAAATGTCATTCCGTAAAATAATGTTGACAGCCTAATTTCAATAGGGATGTGCTTAGGTTCACAGAAAATCTAATCGTTCCATAAGTAACTCATAATGATCATACTTAATTCTATTTATTATTCATATAAATAAAAGGCTGTATAAATTCTCAAGTTGGTACTGGTTTTTAGTTACGGTGCTACGATGACGCTTGTCCGCCATTTTATTTTATTTGTCTTCCGCTCATTCGGCTTCTAACTTCTATTTTGAGTGCACGAATAACTTTGCTTTGCCCACTGCGAGTCGTTTTAGTTATCTTTATTGTTAAATTTTTGCTACATTGTGTTTGTTTTTCGTTACCTACTTATTTTTGTGAATCGTGTCAGCTTTTTTGTTTGTTACATCGAAGACATGGATGCTCAGTTGAGCACATCACAAGATGGAGATATATTTTTATCTCCTAATAAAATAAGGCCACGTGTAGCTCTTAAGTGCAACCGAGAAACTTTGGGTCAGAAACGTTTAAAAATATGTGTTTGAAGTGAAATCTACAGAATCAAACATTTAAGTTCCAAAAACAAGTCAATGCGTCAACAAGGTGCCTGAAGTCTTGGGAATATCCGTCCATTTTGTTTATTCTGTTTTAAAGGAGCACAAGGAGAACTACTGTGAATCACTAAAACCTACCGAAAACTCTGGCCCAAAACTTACATTTAAAGAAAAACTTGATGATTTAACATTCACCGCTATTAGACGAATTGTACATCAGTTCTGTCATAGAAATGAAGTACCCACCATCGCAAAGGTTAGTTTACCTGTCATCACTAATCTTATTATTATTCGTTAGGTATAATATGTTTTCTCCCACCCCATGTGAAATTTTAACCAATTAGGTAATAATAAGTTAATAATTTTTAGGTGCTGCAAGTTGTAAATGATGACTCAAAATTGCCCAACTTCTCGAAAGAGACATTGAGAAAAATTATGAAGCATCTTAATTTCAAATTCGGTACTCGATCACGCAAGAGCGTACTTATTGATAGACAAGATATCATATCATGGCGCCAGCGCTACCTGCGTATATATACGATATTAACCAATATCGTAGGGAGGGAAGATACATATATTATCAAGACGAGACCTGGATCAACGCTGGTAAGTGGCAACTCTTAGTTTTCTATGTTTGATCCCCTTTTATTTAGCTGTCGAAACATATGATTATTTTTTGTTCTTTCAGGTCATACTACAAAAAAACCTGGAGTAGTGGAAGTATAAAATCTTCTCGGCAGGCATTTTTAGACGGTCTAACTACGGGATTAAAAAATCCCACAGGAAAGGGCAAACGACTCATAATCAGTCACATAGGCGGAGAAGAAGGCTTCCTGGAAGACGGACTTCTTATGTTTGAAGCAAAGAAAGGTACAGAAGATTACCATGATGAAATGAACGCAGAGTGTTTCGAGGAGTGGTTCGACGGCATTCTACCCAAACTCAAGCCGAATGCAGTAGTCGTAATGGACAACGCGCCCTATCATTCTAGGAAGATCGAAACAATCCCAAAGATGTCGTGGCCAAAAGCACGAATTCAAGAGTGGCTGACCACTAAAAATATTACATTTGAAACAAACATGGTGAAGGCCACTCTCATAGATATTGTGAAACAACAAAATCATACTGAAAAATATTCCGTGGACGAGATTGCTGAAAAAGGTATCAGACTTTTAAGACTGCCCCTTATCACTGTGAATTGGACCCCATCGAGTTGGTTTGGGCCCAGGTAAAGGGGCACGTCGTAAATAATAATAAAACATATAAAATGCAAGAAGTGAAAACTTTATTCCAAGAAGGAATCAACAAAGTGACACCGACTAAGTGGAGTGACTGCGTGTCTCACACTATAAAAGAGGAAGACAAAATGTGCCACCTCGATCATATTATAGATGAAGTGACAGACAGATTTGTCATTAGTGTGACCGGACCGGACCGATAGTGTGCGATAGTGATTCCGAAAATGATTGATTAATAAATAACATTGTTAATAAAGTTTCGTGCATTATCCCGTTTAAACTAGTTTTATTTAACATTGTTATGATAATTTTGTTTAATTTTGGATGTACGTCCTTATACTTCCACTGAAAAAGATCAATCCTTTACAAAAGTAATAATAATAGAATAAAAAAACATTACAACTTAATATTAAATCTCTAAAACAAAACCAAACTGATCACTCATTTATTGAGTGATTCACTTACTCACTTAGCTACATCCCTATTTATTTTTCTTCAAAAAGCGGTAACCCACAAAACGTCATTTTACTGCAGCTAATAAAAAGTTCTACTTTAGATATCCAATTTGCAGTGTGATTGTCAAATCCGTAAATTTATTTCGACAAAAGGAGATCATCTCTCTCCGGCAATAATTTCATCAACTACATTCAACACAGCCGTAGCTGTACTATGACTAGCCCGAAATCTAGATTGTTTAGGTGGTAAAATATTAGTTCAATTGACATATTCAGTAAAAAACGAAAGGATGTTTTTCATTTTTTAACGAATTGTTTACTTAAAAGAATTAACAGCATATTACAAAATAGCAAGTAATAAAAAAAGGTTTGTGTAAGACTAAGTAGGTACCTAATTTTTCTAAAGGAAATTGAAATTCAAACTTATATATTTCCTCTTTTTCAGATGTAGCGACGGAAAGTGCATTCCAGAACGCTGGCGATGTGATTCTGAAAGGGATTGTGCTGATGGAGGAGACGAACTCAACTGTTCGCCACATGTCATGCACAACTGTTCCAACGACGAGTATACTTGCGCTGACCGACGATGTATTCTGGTAAAATCCATTATCATTACCAGCCCATTACTCACCTCACTGCTGGGGTACGGGACTTCCCTAAGGATGGGATTTGGAGATAGAGCCATAACTCACCACGCCACCCAGCGCGGATTGGTGTGAGCTAACTAAGCTAAGCATGCCCGAAGCACGGAGGAGCTTGACATAATACATTTTTGGTCATCCATCGTAAGACCGGCCATTGCGAAAGCAGACCCGCAGACTTCCTTCTCAATCAAGCTCCTTAAATTGCCTTAATTAGCAAGACGTTAATAAGAAACCACAATTATCTTGGGATTTTTTAACCATTATCATAACTTTCAGAAAACTTGGATCTGCGATGGAGTTCGTGACTGCACCAATGGAGAAGACGAAATGAACTGCCAAGTGTTTTGCGAAGAAGACCAGTACATGTGTAAGACACAAGAACATCTCTTGAGTAACGCTTTTAGGAACTGTGTGAATAGGAAACACGTTTGTGACGGCATGAAAGATTGTCCGAGAGGTGATGACGAAGAGAATTGTCCCACGAAGAGAAAATGTAATGCCGATGACAAGTGTGAAAAGGAATGTATCACTACGTATGATGGATTGCCAGCATGCGTTTGTCCAATAGGATTTTTGCTAGCTGATGACGGATATAGGTACGATTGGATTTGAGATAAAAAAAACTGATTCTAAAGTACATCTTCTTATATTTATAATATCCAACATTACTATAATTTCGTTCCAGTTGTCGTGATATCGATGAGTGCATGTACGAACAAGACCCAGTGTGCTCCCAAACCTGTTCCAACACAGTAGGAAGTTTCCAATGTGGCTGCATGACTGGTTATGTTATTCGACCAGATGGCAGATCCTGCAAGCCTATAGGGCAATCGCCATCCCTTTTATTCTCCAATCGCATTGGAATACGCCAAGTAAGAGTATTACCCATATAAATTTAAAGACTGTCTATAAAGGATTGAAGGTAATCTAAAACTAATTCTTATTTATGTATTGCTGCAGGTGTGGTTAACGGGCGATAATTACATATCCGTGGTAAAAGGTTTACATAATGCAGTCGCACTGGATTACCACTACGAAAAGAAGTTAATATTCTGGTCTGAAAACAATTTGAGGGTCATACGGGTTGCAACTATGGAAAGTAACAATATGACAGGTATGAAACGCCACCATCATCTTGATCTAACTCTCATGATGAAAAGTAAGTTGTAGTTACTAAATATAATATTCTTTGTAGATGTTATCAAGTGGGGTTTGGAAACGCCAGGAGGTGTGGCAGTAGATTGGATACACGATTTGCTTTTTTGGACTGACTCGGGTACGAGACGGGTAGAAGTGGCAACCCTTGATGGATCTCAAAGAGCAGTATTAGCTGCAAACGATTTGGATAAACCACGCGCTATTGCTGTCCATCCCGGAGATGCATTAGTGTTTTGGACTGATTGGGGTAAGAATTTTCTACCTTTATCAATATTTAAATGGGTAAAAGAACTTACCTGCAAGTGAAGTTCAACTACAATTATACGAAGTTCAATGTCCGAATACAAAGGCACTTCGTAGCAGAAGGCTTACTATATGGTTAGTTGAATGCCAAGGACATTGAACTGAAGTATAATTGAAAATTACCAATTCGTATAAATTTATATGATTATTTTCTGTTTTAGGACCCAATCCCAAAATCGAGAGGGCTGATATGGATGGCAGTCGACGCAAGAGCGTTATAGTTGATCAGATATTCTGGCCAAATGGACTCACTATTGACTACATGGAGTCCAAGATCTATTGGGCTGATGCAAAGCATCATGTCATTGAAAAAGCCACTTTTGACGGCCGCGAGAGAAAACGCGTAAGTTATAATACTATGATTCCATTTAATTACGAATACATTAGTGTTATTTGTACTTTTTGTAATATTTTGTGTTTCGTTTCAGATAACTAATAAGGGTCTACCTCATCCATTTGCAATAACATTATTCGAAGATGCTATTTACTGGACTGACTGGCACACAAAGAGCATATCAACTGTCAATAAGAAAACGGGAATGGGAATACAGACTGTTCATGCGGGTTTGAACGTTCCTATGGACATACACAGGTACTTTCTACACAGTATTCAGAAACCCTAGGTAATTGGTATTGTAACGTTTTTATCTATTGGTATCCTATTTTTTCAGTTATCACCCCCTAAGGCAACTGAAAACTTACAAAAATCGCTGTGGTTCAAACAATGGAGGTTGTTCACATCTTTGTCTCCCTAACAGTAATGATCGCACATGCCGCTGCCCCGTTGGTTTTAACTTAAATTCTGATGGGTAAATATTGCACTCATTAGATTTGCATTACACAATTAGTAAACTTAACTTAAAAAAAACATTTATTTTTTCAGCCGAACATGCGAAGAAACACCAGAAAAGTTATTGCTCTACGCAAGACGTAAAGATATAAGGCTGAAACAATTGAATCCAAGAAAACAAACTGATTCTTTAGATATGGTGAGTTCTTTAAATTTTGCATCTTGGGAATTTAATGTTATTGAATATTTTAATAAAATTAATCGTGATTCTACTGTACTTATTGAAATCTCTCAATATTGGCTGCCGATCAGGTGATCCCCGTGGACAATATAAAGTCAGCTGTAGCTTTAGATTGGGATCATAACAGTAATTCTATATTTTGGACTGATGTGGAAAAGGATACAATCAACCGAGCTTTTCTAAATGGTTCACATCAAACTGTCATTGTTGGCTCGAATCTGAGTAAGTTCAACTTTTTCCAACTCTTGCTTGCTTTACTTTTTCAATGATAGAATTTGGGATTTGAGTTACTTATTTTGATTTTCATTTTAGTTTCACCGGCTGGTCTAGCGTACGATTGGATTACTAATAAAATATACTGGACTGATGCTGGAACAAACAGAATTGAAGTGGCAAATGCCGATGGCAGTATGCGAACTTTATTGGCTTGGGAAAACATCGATAAGCCGAGAGACATCGTCGTAGATCCAACAGGTATTATTAAATACACTATTATAATAAAAACGTGTAATTTTTTCCATCTTCTTCCTGTAAGTAAAGCATCACCCAATCAAATTTGAAATATATTTTTTATATATTTTAGATGGAGTCATGTATTGGTCTGATTGGGGTGCTACCCCTTGCATCGAAAGATCTGATATGGACGGAGGTAATCGACATAAGTTAATACAAGGCGATATGACGTGGCCCAACGGCTTGGCCTTAGATTTTGGTAATAGCCGCATTTATTGGACTGATGGTGGTAACCGCACAATTGAGTACGCTAATTTTGACGGAAGTAAAAGAGGAGTTTTAATTGGTGAGAACAAACAACCCGAATATAAGAATTATTGTAAGGTTTTATTACAGACAGAATAGTGTTAATTCTTCATAATGTTCATTTGTAGGTCTCATGCAGCATCTTCCTCATCCATTCGGTTTGGACTTGTATGGTGATGAGATATTCTGGACTGATTGGGATACACAATCCATTCAAGCTGCAAATAAATACACTGGCAAGAATAGAAGAACTCTAGGAGCTGGTGTAGCTGGCTTGATGGATGTGCGAGTGTTCCATAAGGAAAGAATAACAGTCGCTAACAGGTATTAACAAAAAACTCACCAATATTAGTAGAAGAATATATTTCAGAACAGAATAACTCAAAATATATAGAAAATATACCAAAACTGTGTTAATACATTCTGTAATGATTCTAGATGCAGTAAAAATAACGGCGAGTGTTCACACCTCTGTCTTCTGAGGCCATTTGGTCGCTCTTGTGGCTGCCCCATCGGTATAAAACTGAGTGTAAGTCAAACCGATAAAATAAGAAATGTGCTATCCCATCAGCTACATTACACTACTCAACAAAATGAAAAAAAAAATTGAGTCTGTCATTGAATGACTATTGTCTGGTTGTTTGCATCGAAACATAACCAGCAACCTCGTTTTTTTTTTTAAAAAAGTTTTCTTTTGTACTTTTCACAATGATAGATAAGAACGTATGATTTTTGTAAGAGGCTGAAAGACTACTGCTTTTAATAAGCAAAAGAAAGGAGCGCAGTAGGATATCGGGTATTGAACAGCAATCAGTAGAGCAGTCACTCAGTGTGTGTTCACACATTTTAGAGAACCGACATATTTTGTGAGTCTTGAACGGTAAAATGCCTTTCAAAATTAGTAAAAACTACGTGGACTCTGATTGATTTATTTACGGAGATTTTATTAAATTTAGGGTCAAAAAATTTTGTTTATCCAGTAGTAAAAGGCTTAATTAAGCATATGAAGTTAACTTTTACTTTCTATTCGAAGTCAGGATTAAATATGGGCGTCACATGAGGATATACCAAATTTCCATGGTATTTGATTTACTTCAGAGAAAGAAATATAATTTTAAGTATGATATATCCTTATTCGATATGGACCCTATGATTATTTTAATGCCTATGTTGCATAAAAAAATGTTTTATTGAAACAATTTATTAAGGCACTACGTCAACATTCTGAAGCCATTTTCCCCAGAATTTTCAGACTAAAAAATATAAGATATGCTAAAAATATCAATTTTTAAAACTAAATCAATATGTTTTTTGTATTCATAGACTTGGTTTATTTGTCTAAAGTAAATGAAAGAGTTTTAAATAAATATATTAATGATTATTTTCTTGTTATATACAACTTAAACAAAAAAATTTGTAATTTTCTATGAAATTTAAAATTTCATTCTGTTAGCTACAAAAGCAAACTTTTTTCAATAAAAATATTGTTACTTACATTAATTAGGTATAAGAAATCAAAATCGAAATCTGGTACAAAGAACTCTTTTATTGTAAAAGTCATGTGACTGACATTATGACACGAAAGTTGATTGACACTTATTATTAAGCTAAAGTTCTGTATTGATTAATTCATTTCATTTAATTTGTTAGGCTCAAAATTCGTGTTGACTGTTGTTATCTTTTTGCTTGATGATCTAGGCTTCTATTAAGTCTATTTTGATTATTTCAGAAGGATGGGAAAAACTGTGTCAATGGTCCTATCAATTACTTGATATTCGCTCATCGTGTTGATATAAGAATAATATCTCTAGATGTGCCATACCTAGTTGACGTAGTCCTGCCCCTTCCTCAACTGAAGAACGCTCTTGGTGTCGATGTTGACCAACGAACCGGTAAATAAAAAAATATATAAGTCCATTCAAAGTATAAGCTAAATAAAGTTATAATCATAGACAATACATGATTTTAAATTATCTTTGCAGGTCTCGTATACTGGACAGATACAGGAGAGAAAAAAATCCAACGTGCTCGTAAAGATGGTAAAAACAACGAAACCATTGTAGGTAGTGGTCTGCATACAGTAGATGGAATCGTAATTGACTCTGCAGGGCGCAAGGTCTGTAGCGAATTGAGAATAAATATTAAATAATGAATAAAACATAATGACTACGATTAAAAATAGTGTTGTTTTTATAGATTTATTGGACTGATGGTGGGCGTAACAGTATCGAGGTAGCTGAATTAGATGGTAGAAACAGAAAAGTCCTTGTCTGGACCGGCTTGGGTATAAACTCCATTCTTATTTAATCAATACTGATATTAAAAGTAGAAATACTAATTACATAAAAATGCCTATTTGTTTACAGACTCACCTCGAGCCATTGCTTTACATTACCAAGAAGGGTACATGTTCTGGTCAGACTGGGGACAATCTGCCAAAATAGAGAGAGCTGATATGGATGGCAATAATAGGTACAATAAATATATCCACATTTTGTTCGTCATTTAACTAGTAATTTTTGAGATAAGTGAAATACTAAAAAATGCTTGGTAACTAAATATTTCTCTATTTTTATATTCAGGCGTATAATTGTCGACAACAACATCAAATGGCCAAATGGTCTCGCTATTGACAACATCGAAGGTCGCCTTTATTGGAATGATGCTAAAATTCTCACAATCGAAAGCTCCGACTTTGACGGGAACGACCGTAAGACTGTACTGAGCAACGTCCCTTATCCTTACGGAATTGTTATAGTGGGCCAACACATTTATTGGACCGATTGGAAAACTAGTGCACTTCATAGAGCCGATAAGAGTGACCCTAAAACTAGCACCATTATTAGAGAAAAGCTGGAAGGCCTAATGGATATTAGAGCAGTTCAGGTATGTATCTCTTCAATATAATAAACTTGCTTCCATCAGCTTTAACTTTAGTTTTGCTCAACTTTTTTTTCCGTAAGCATATAGTAGAAAGTATTAGAAGTTTGACAAAAAGGTGATATCGTTAAAGTCACGCTTAAGCTACGGCGTGACCAATTGAAATAGAGATTTGTATTTTATAAAAAAAGATTTATTTACTTAAACATATTAATAAAATTATACATTTATCAAATGATTTTTTATTCAGAGTGAACATATACCGCAAAACGTTTGCGGCACAAACAACGGTGGTTGCTCTCATCTTTGCCTTCGTGCACCACACGGTTACACTTGCGCATGTCCAACGGGATTATACTTCGAAAACAAAACGGATGCAAACCCCAAAATATGTCGTACATATCCCGAAAACTTCTTGGTGTTCGCCACAAGAGGAAGTATAGCGACGATATCTCTCGACACTCCGGAACAATGGGATGTCAGTCTGCCGCTGAAGGAAGTTCAGAACTCTCTTGCGGTAGACTTCCACTGGGAGAGAAAAGAGATTTTTTATACAGACGTTAACAGGGACTGCATCAGGTAAGTCTGTTTCTTAATGAGTTTTGTGGTCCTGTTTTATGTGTACCAGTCAGTGACATATAGAAGGCCTAGTAATTCCTCAATTGATTTTATATTAATCAGAACCAAGTAGTTCTTAAATTAATGTTATACTAATTAATTCGTTACAGTGTAATAAACATGTTAAATATGTCAGAAAGTAAAGTGCTTATAAAAGGTAAACTCGACACACCCAACGGACTAGGTGTAGATTGGATTGCAAATAACATTTATTGGACTGACAATGAATATAAGGTACGTAAATCTTCTTTTAAGCTGCTGATATTACGAGCTTACACAGTATTATTAAGTATAGTTATAATTTAATTTTGAAGAAAAGAAAATGCTTTTCGTAAACGTTGTCATAACTCAATTGAAATAAAGTATTAATTTTCAATAATTCATTTCAGGTTGTAGAAGTAGCTAGGTTAGATGGTACGTCAAGAAAAACTATAGTTACGGGCCTAAATGAACCAAGAGCACTTGCTTTATTCCCAGCTAAAGGGTAAGTAAACAGAACTGTTAATTTTATTAAACATATTATAAAGAAATAGCCGGAGTTAGTGTAAAACCTAACACATGAGTTCGATATCGTAACACAACACCCATTCGTATAAATGATTTGCGTTTACCTGAAAATGTGAATCCTCCAGTATTTAAAACACTGACGATTTGGACTCGATCAAAAGTCATGGTCGTTAGTTGAAATTTATTTGTTGCTGCCCTAGATGTTCGTCCCTACATAGAGGGCTCAGGTATGTACAGTACTTCACAAGGTGCAAGGTTACACCCCTTATGTTATTCTGTCATGCTTGAGTAAATACAAAAATCTCCGCTTGGATTCTCATTCTATAAAGAAATATTTCTATTTTTTTGATCATGAAAAATCTTACAGGTATCTTTACTGGTGCGACTGGGGAGAACATCCACGCATCGAGAGATCATACTTAGATGGGAGCCTAAGGAACGTGATCCTACACCAAGATCTAGGCTTTCCCAATGGAATCACCATAGATTATAAGGAAAGGAGGTTGTATTGGACTGATGCACTAAAAGATAGAATCGACACTGCCGACTTGAATGGTCACCATCGCGTACAATTAGTTCCAGATGCTAAAAATCCTTTTGGCATGACTCAAGTAAGTTGCGGTTATAGCATAATGTTTAAATTTGAATTTAATCTTTTTAAATAGGTAGCTGCTCAGTTTGCGTAGAAGGAATGATTTACTATACAAACTTTCTTCTTGTATATTACTCTCTAACTACTATAACAGACAGAGATTCTGTAAAGACAAGCACTAAATTTTATAGTTATGTATTATGTTGTTACGTTTTTTTTTGAAAATTTCAGTTCAACGATTACATCTATTGGACTGATTGGTACAAGAAGTCCGTTATGCGAGCTGATAAGAGGACGGGGAAAAATGTTACCGCGTTGAGAACCGACTTCGAAATGACTATGGAAATAAAGGCAGTATCGGCCGAGAAGCAACGCGGATGGAATCCTTGCAAGGAAGACAATGGTGGCTGTTCACATCTTTGCTTCTTCAGGGCGCATGACTACGTTTGCGCTTGTCCCGACCAACCAGACGACCGTCCTTGCTTTACAGGTATTTATCTATGCAGAGTTTAGTAGATGCAACTAAATTTTTTTATACCAGGTGTTTTCCATAAATCACTATAAGGTTTGAAGGGGAGGGAGGGGGGGGATAATTATTTATTTATTTAATTAAAAGAAATACAATATTAAATGTGTTTTAATGAGATATCACATGCTTTTATTTTTCGTTGAACGCACGATTTCCAAACCAAACAGTGGCGCGTGGGCGCGACTCACTGGAAATTGTAATATACTTGGGTATTTTGTACTAAAAAAATATAGGTGATTCTGGGTATGGAGCGAAGGGAAAAGGGGTTAAAACTTGCTTAAAAACACCCACGTGGTTAATGGACGACCATACGATAGTAAAAGGCAATAATACTAATTTACTTGCTCCGCTGGCTCAGCGACTTGGAAGTGAATCTTGACCTCCGACACGAGATGACGTCACTGCTCCCTGCCTTGTGCAGTTCTGGAATTTTGATGGGCCCTCGCAGTTCGAATAGCATCCTAAACACGAGCAACTAGTGAAAATGTTTTCGTACCGCCATGTCAAAGTTTCTATAGAAACTAAGCAGCGCCCCTACTGGACGTAAGAACAAACTAGCTCTTCCCATAGAAACTATGACGATGGCGATTCGAATACTTTCTCGATTGTTGTTCGTACTTGGGGTACAGATTCTTGACAACAGGCTCTTTCCAGCGATACTTGGAGCCAGTCACCGGATTTCGCCCACAAGGCATTGCTGTGTACGCGCTTTTTTCTATATGGTTCAATGGCCAGCGGAGTCTATGAGAGCCTTAGTCTTCCCATAATGTTGGGATGCGCCACATGATCTTCTATCTCTAAAATATCTGTTGTTTGTTTATATTTCTTGTTTAATTTGATGTGATAATTATTTGATATTTACTCTTTTGATGCTCAGCTCGCTATAAATTAGTAATAGTATTTCAATAAACTTTGTATTCGCAGAGCCCAAAGCCCGCATAGATAACAAAATGCCACCCCACTACCCATCGTCTGATGACTACGCGGATCTAGAGGCGGGAGATAAATTAATTCCTCAGCCTACAGCTGTGCCTCAGACGAGCGTTGGGGCCATATTGATCGTGGTCGCCATTATGACGTTCATTATACTGGGGGTTGTGGTTATTGCTTTCGTGTGTGGTAAGTACAAATCTTGAACATCATCAGCATATTGTAGCCACTTCTGAAACCTGGTTCAAAACGCCACTGTGGATTGGAGGGTGCTTATTGCTGAGGGTGCTGATTACTATACTTATTGTAATAGACACCGAGAGCCTTCGAAACACAAAGGCATTCTTGAAAGTAAATCTCTGCATACAGATGCGCTGGAGACGAGCGTTCACAATCCCAAATACGAAAGGATTATAGGTATTACTAATAAAACTAGTTTCCAGGAACTAGATAGTACTGTTTAGTCAGTTGATATGGAAGAAATACGTATTTCAGGTTATTGGATCATCATTTTTAAAGAATTATCTTCTGCTACGTATACTACGCAAAAACAACCTATGCATAAGTGAAGTTTTCATATCTAACTTAATTTTTAAGGACTGCCAAAAGCATTGCGTTACTTATATTTACTATGATTTCATACCTATTTCTAGTGAAAATCAACAAAGAAAGAGGTGGCGAATTGAAGGAAGATTATCGTGAATCAAGCAGTGGACACATCTCGTTTCACAATCCGAACTACAACTGTGCGACCGGCGGCAATGGCGGGGAACCCATCGAGAGACGGCCCAATCGATTTCACGGGATATTCAAATACGACAAGAGTCAGGTATTAAATTGGCAAGAGTTGATAATTTAGTGGCAAGAAATTTTCCATCAATCTTAATGAATGATTTTAGTATTAATGAATGGTTTTTTGTATTATTATTGAAATTACGAAATGGAAGGTACTAAATTCAATGGTTAGCTAACATTCAAAACTTACGCAAATGCAAAAAAAATTAAGGAATATCAAAGCAAAGCAAAATAGCAAATCTCTATTATACAGGGTGTTTCTTCTAGGGTGTCAAGCCAGTGCGAGCTGATAGCGGAGTACCATATCTTTCAATTTAACCTCCATGTATGTTCTACGATTTATCGTAGTTTTAGAGTTCTAGTTTTTCGTCGTTCGAGCGAGTCCTCAACGTACGTAGACACTTCCTTATTTAAGCGTAAAATAAAAATACCTGAGGAGGAGGATAACAGGAGTTTCGAGTGATTAGTTATCATAAAAAGATTATTTTTATTTTCGAATGAGCTCCACTTAAACTAAATGGGATAATAAAACTTAAGATCGACAAAATATGCAAAGATACTACGAAATTATAAAATATTAAAATTACTCGATTTCCGATACTGATGTATCACCAAAGCTATGAACAATTTAAAAAAAAAATATGAATGATTGATATCCATGATTCACTGTCTGTGGTTGTGTTTTAAGTTGTTTTTATATCTCTAATAAACCGAGCAACCTTAATGATATGTTTTTAAATAAACCATTACACATATAACATGGCGCAGTCGACCCGAAATCTGTAATAGTGTATGTACCTATGTAAAAGTTGCACCATGGAAAATAATGTGGTTAAGTTATCACTAAATTTTGACATTCGATCTCAATCGGCATCTACGGAGTGGAAATTTTGGATATGTGTATTCGGAGATTATTCAGTGGCGATCAGCAAGGATGACGCCTCTGATAAGGTAAAGTTATCACTATTGAGAAATATGATGGGACCGTAGTCCACAAAAGTTATACAAAGTTTTAAATTGTCTCAAAAGGATTCTCAAGTTTATGAGAAAGTGGTGACGGCAATTGAAAAATATGTGAACCCTAAATATAACGAAGTCTTTGGGGGGTTTAAGTTTAACGAACGGAGAAAAGAACCGAATGAAAATTTTGAAAATTTTTATACAAACTTGAGACAACTGATCTCCAGATGTAATTACGAAAGTACCAAGGAAACTTTAGAGGATCAGCTCCTAAGGGACTGAATTGTTCAGGGACTCCAAGATAAAGGACTCCAGGAAAGTTTGTTAAGGATGGATGATCTTACACTAGACAAAGTTGCAAACATATGTAGCAAGTGAAGTAAGTCGTTCCCAAGTCAAGAAAATGAACCCAACAATAGAAATTGATGAAGCTAGGATTCGTAGAGACAAATTATAGGGTCATTTAACTATGTGCGTAAATACGTATCTGATATGGCGAATATAACGTATCTGATAAATTAAATGAAACTAGTAGCATGTGCTTCGCGTACTATGAATGAGACAGAGGAAAATTATAGCCAGACTGAGAAAGAGTTCTTGGCAATTACTTTTGCAGTCAAGAAATTTTATAGATATATTTATGGCACTAATATTGATGTACAAACTGATCACAAACCAATTGTATCTATTATGTCAAAGCCAATTTCGAAAATTGGGTCACCTAGATTAAAACGTTTGAGACTGAAACTGCTAATGTACAACTTAAATGTATATTATATACCAGGTAAATTTTTGCATTTTGCAGACATGCTATCGAGAAATAAATTAAATTATACTGAAAATGATAAACATATGTTGCAAATGGTCCACACAGTAACTGTACACTTACCCATGTCTTCAGAAAGAAAACAAAATTTTATAAATGAAACTAAAAATGATCTGATTTTGATTGTATTTGTATTATTTAAAGGGATAGCCTACTGAACATAAAGTTTTAAATAACTGTAAACATTTTTTTAAGTTAAAAGACAATATATATTTCCAATCTGGTTTAGCATTTTACAATGATAAAATTTTTGTACCGTCTTCTTTACAAAAATATGTTCTGAATTTAGTTCATGAAGGTCATCCCGGGATTTGTAAAAGCATAAAGAAAGCCAGACAATTGTTTTATTGGCCTGGACTCACTAAAGATATTCACGATTATGATGCCATACTTGTGAAAAATTTAGGTCAGCCAACCCTCATGACAATTTAATTAGCCATAAAATACCAAATCGTAGATTTGCAAAAGTTGGTACCGACATATTACATTTTATGGGCAAGCCTTACCTTGTAATTGTAGTCTATTTTACTCATTGGCTTGAAATTTTGCACTTAAATGATAAAGGACATTGCTCGTTCCCCATACATTGAATGCCCTAGAACGCCCAGCAATGAGAAAATGCTAGTTGTGTTCGGAATCATTCATAAACTCTAATTAAGCATTTGTTGAGAAGCGGACAAGTTGAGGAACCGTGGACTACTACAGAATGTATTAGATTTTGAGGTTATAATTATTATATTTAGTCGTAAAAGATTTACACTTTATATATTCTGAATAGACTTAGTGTTTACCTCTATGTAAGCACTTAAATAATATGCATTAAATGAACATAAAATGTAATTAATAATAAAAATAATAAATGCTTATATTCACATTGATTTATGAGTGTTGTCAGTTGGCACCTATGATACCTATACCTACCTGTAGTAATAATAGATTTCTTTTCAAATGAAATGTTCAGTCTTTCCATTTACCTGTTTCTATATTTTACTATCGGTAATTAGGTATGTACCTGGTTAAATAAACAGATATTACATGGGATGGGAGTATAAACTATCTTTACATAATTTCAGAAATAATCTTTTTATAAATATAATATAAATACTAGTAATTAGTATTATTAACTAAGGTATATAGTTCTATTTTTATGTTGATAAATACCTATGGTCGCCTTTATTGCATTTATTAAGGTAAACAATCTTGGCACAACTTTTTAACAGAATCACCCATTTAATAATAAAATATTAAAGAAGCCAATAAACTATTAAAATAAATCGTTATTATAGACTGAAACCTATTGAATCCAGTTTTCAGTTGATTTTTAATGCTGTATTTTCAATAAAAAGGAGTGCCAAGTTGGATGAACAGACTGTAGTATCTAGTTACAGAACTTTTATTTTTTGTTTTTTTAAACAGATTGTCCGTTAACTATGATTAATTGCTAATAAGTTAAAAAAATAATAGAAAAATAATAGTGAAGGACATTCTTTTGGGCATGATAGGGCCGATTTCGTCGATGTCCTTTTCTAATTCTGTATTAAATGCATTCAAAGAAGTATTCATGAGGTTTGGTTACCCTGAAGAAATTGTTGCAGACAATAACCCATTTAATTCACATCAGTGTCATAAATACTATAGAATGAAGGATATAATATTGACAACAAGTAGTCCACACTCTCCTCGAAGTAATGGGATGGCAGAAAAAGCTGTACACATAAGTTATATTGAAAAAAGCGTAAGAAGATAGAGTGGATTACAGAGACTTTGTTAAGTCATACCAATACACCTGTAACTGGACTGGAATATTCTCCCACAAATGATTCATTTTAATACCTGTTTCTTGTAACTTTATACCTAAATTTGTATTTAATTTTTCAAAAACTTTCTTTGGTATAACAATAACGTCTGCACCAGTATCTAAATTACATTAAAATATTTTCCATCCATTCTGTATTGTCCTCACCTGAATTTTTCACTTCACCACAAAAAATGTAATTACAGTTGTAATTACATATTAGTAATAATTAATTAATTAATTTTAATAATTTCTGCCACTTCTAGTTAGAAGTGGCAGAATTGTTAAGCCACTAAATAGATTGAATTTATAATCTTTTGAAATACTTTACATAATTATGATTTGAGTCTAAAAGGGGAAGTGATGTATCACCAAAGCTATAAACAATTTTAAAAAATAATATGAATGATTGATATCTACGATTCACTGTCTGTAGTTGTCATGCTTCTCGAAAGTGTTTTAAGTTGTTTTTATATCTCTAATAAACCAAGCAACCTTAATAATTTATGTGTTTAAATTAACCATTACACATATAACAGATACAACACCTTCAACAACAGATTTCAGCAAATAATGCCCCATTTAGTAAATCTTTTTTATAATTTAATGAAAGCATATCGCAACTTTATTCCAATACTGTCATTATGATAAAATAAAATTAAAATACAGGATTTGAAGTAATGTGTAGATTCATAACGTAGCAAAAAGATGGCGTTGTAAACTATTTTTTGAAGAATTTTGTTTAATGACAGTATTGGAATAAAGGTGCGATATGTAGTCGGGCAGTTTTTAAAATTAATCAGAAGTTATGGAACATTTATTTGAATTTTTTTTATTTCAATTGAAAATCCATTCTGTTTTACCTAATTCATTTTTATTAAGTATCGATCAAATTTTTTATATATTTGGTTAAAGTTAGGAAGGAGATTATTTTACTTATAAAACAACAAGCAATAGGCATTCTGTTAAAAAAATATCGAAGATAAATCGACCCAAAAAGAAGTTATACTTTTTTAAAGTTGTCTTATCGTTGAACTTAAAAAATAACGAAAAAAAATTCTAACTTGAAAACTAAGCAAAATCGTAGAACATACATGGGGGTTGAATAGATAGGTATGGTACTCTGCTATCAGCTCGCACTGGCTAGAAGAAACACCCTGTATATCTCTTTCAAAAAGTGAGAAAGAAAGTAGTCTGAAGTTTACTGTTAACCTTATTGATTGATTTTGACGTCATTTTTTTATAATCAGGAGCGCGTAACCAACGTATACATTCCGGAAGGAACGAGTTTATTGCCTCCTCCACCGCCGCCTCCGCACCGGCAGCCCCCGACACGACCCGCGACTCACGACGACTTCGAGCCCGTCACCTTACACCCCTTCGCCTGAACTCACCCGCACAACACACCACACAAACGAACGCGCAATGGATTCAACGACGTACGCTTGACCGTAGCTATAGAGTAGCCGAAACAGTGTCCGCGTAGATTAGATGTGTTCGACGCGTCAAAAACTCAAAACAAACATTGGGAATGGTAATCGACATATTGCCGGTACGATCCCGAGTCTTTATAAAGGAACGACGCAAATGGACACACTAAATGTACACCTACCTACAGTTTAAGTACAAATAACATTATTAATCTGTGGTCGATAAGGAAAATTAATGTACACTTTTACGTTCTCAACGCACAGCCAAATGTCATAGACGAAGATAGATGATTGTCAACATAATTATAATATTCTCATGAAATGTGAACCGTTTTTAGTGGAATTGTGCCTGAACACTTAAACTAGGTTGTGTTCAATAGCGTCAAATTTTCGTTTTTGAAACGATTGTTTGTATGCTATGCAGACAAAAAAAAATCAATTTTTCGTGTCTCTTTCTTTTATTAAAAGCGCTCTTGAACGCAGCCTTACCGATACTGTTGATAAATAACATTATGGCCTGATGATGAAAAATATTGTATGTTCAAAACTTACCGCATCCGTTACAATCGATAATTGTCAATTTCAGATATGAGAAAAATATCCTGGAGGATACGTAGTGTAAGATCACATTTTAGAAAGTTAAAACAGAGTTTCGACTTCATATATTTTAACTTTTACGATATTGTTACAATTTATAATTACCTAAGAGATATTATAAATCACGTGATATTGATTTAATTTAACTCACTTTCCCAATTTGTATTCAACTTATATCGTCGTCGGATAAAAAAATAATACCTATGTGTTTTATTCATGTAAAACATATTTAATTATACTTATACTGACTATTGTTATTAGGCATAGATAAATACTTTAGAAATTATAGAAAATAACAAAAAACATCTTGAGTGTAAATAGATGTATTCACTTAAAACTAACAGCAATTAAATAATCAAAAGGAATTCTGAAAAAATAGCTGTAAGGTTTATTGAAAGTTAATAACTGCGGTACCATGCTTGATCTGTTTATATATTTATGTTACTTGTGTTTTGTTATACTAAGGTGATTGAGATTGTGAAATATGTAGTTGAAGATAGGCATGATACCGAAGTAAAAATAAAGTATAAAATTATCAAAAGTACGAATGAATTATGAATGGTAATGAGTAAATGTATATTTTATTATTTTTATACAATTAAACTGACATGCTCTCCCAGAGGCTCACTGAGGAGGTCATGTCGGTGATTATAATATCTATATATTTATTATACATATAGTATTAAAACTTCTAGGTGCGGAGAGGTTGGGGTTAATGCATTTTCGTTTTACTGAAAAAAAAAGTAATTCATCATCCCAACCTCGCTAGTTTAACAAACGAATTGTAACGAAGAAATGAGAATCATCACGCCCACGTTTGCCCACTACTTTTAAAGGAAACGAATTCACTCTTAGAAGTAAATTCACCAAATTATAAATGGTGACAATAAAAATATCAATGTAAATAGTTAGTTTTAATTACGACATTTTTTGTCAAACAATATTGCGTTGTAAATAATAGTTTATTTATATTTTGTACGTTATGATGTTTTTACGATTTTATTTCAACTGTTGCAACTACATCCGAATGTAGGTTTACATTACATTTTCATATCAGATAATTTCTTAGTGACTTAGAATTAAATTGATGACGCTTTAATTTTTACTGTTAACTAAACGAATGTAATAGTTCTCCAATATGACTTTAAAAGGAAGATTGGAATAATTCAAATGTAACACAGTGGACATTTTAATTGAACAATGTACTTATGTTTGTTGGTATACTGCGCTGCAAACACGAATTGGCATATACATGACGTTTCACAGGGTGTTTTAATCTAAGATAGAGTTAGGAGTGATGTTAACGGTGTAACCGGACATAAAAATGGATACTCATCACATTGGATAATTCTAGATAACCTTGTACACAACTATCCGTCATGAAAAGAAATAGCGCATTGAAAGTAAAATTGCAACTGTTTAGCTAATTAGGCAATAATAATAAGTTATTGCGTTTCTGAAGTTCCTTTTAAGAATCAATGAAAAGCCACTAGAATGTTATTTGTGTTATACTTATTCTTGGAAAGAATAATTGAACTTAGTTTTAAATGATGGAGATTATATAAATGCATATAATGTATAATGTGAAACAATAAATATATATTATATAATTTTATATTGTGCACAAATAACCAACTTTTAAATATTAATGTTACTTTAAAATACTTAAGATAATTTCCGTAGTTTACCTACTATCCAAGAAAGATTCCGCCCCATACCAAATTTTTAAACAATTATAAAGTAAGATGAAATTCAAACTGTGTGTTTGTCTATATTTTTTTTTATGTTGTGGCCAACGATATTTAAAACCTCGTTGGTTGTGGCGTTAGAAGTTTTAGATTATGTGATCTCTCTTTTCTCGTCAAGGGAGATGGGGGTCTAAAAATCGGCAACTATTATATAATTTCTAACAGTTGCATGTTAAGCAGCTTCTACAAAGATTTCATATTTACGATGTTTTCTGATATAAGGTTTAACGACGATTTTAAGTAACACTGTTTTGTTAATAGCTTGTAAGGGAAGAAAACGTTAAAAAGTATGTGAGTGCTGTGATACCAAATGCTTAGAGAGTTAGAAATGATTACCGACGATGGCAGTCACCACGTGAACAAGGTCACAATAAAGTGTTTTGATTTATTATTAAAAATGACGCCATTGTGCCAAATTCCAATATGCACAATATGCACCACAACGCACAATGGATGTTTGTATGAAGTTTTTTTAAGTCTCATTTCGACATGCGAAATTCTAAATTTAAAATATTATGATGAGAGTGCCAAATTGTGAACTCCGTAATTATTATTATTAATTTTATTAATTTTTATTATTATTATTAAATTATAGAGGGAAATTAGATAATGAATTAAACAGCTTTTACACCTTGTGGCCTCCATCAGGTGTTGAAACTGTTGTCTGATTTATTACTGTACTGAAGATTTAAAATAGAATTATTCGAATAAATATTAGTCGTTTTTATTTCACCCTCCTACCTAATAATCCATTCCGTATATCCTTACATATAGCTTTGAAGCTTCGATCACAGAAAGACTAGATACAGCAAGTAGGTTCGAATCGCGTTCCATGAAAACTCCGCTCAATTTAAAAACTCCACTCATCGCCCGCTCAGTCTGTCGTTGGCAGCTACGCGACCGCCCGTCAATTTCGCAGTGTTTCTCGTCACTAATATTGCAAAAATGCCGACTTGCACGATCAAAACATGTAAAAGTGATACAAGAAAGCACACTAAAACTACTGGAATTACATTTCATGAGTGAGTATGCTTTTAAATACAATTTTTGATAAGAAAAAAACAAAAATTACTCTCTCATACATTTCATCTGGTTGTGTAAAGTGGAGACGGCTTCTTTAAAAAATAAACTATTTTCTTATGTTTGAATGGTAAAGATTTAATACGTAACATAGGATATTGAGAGGCCTGTTGATTTAGTGGTTAATAAACGGGATTCGAACCCGCGACCTATGGAACAGAACCATAGGTCGCGGGGTCGAAACCCGTAAAGGGAAAATGTTTGTGTGATGAATACGGACATTTGCACCAGAGTCATAGATGTTTATATGACATTATGTATTAATATCCGTTACCTAGCTCTCATAGTATAAACTCTGCTTAGTTTGAGGTGTGAGTGTATCAGATAAAAAAAACGTGTATCTAACAAACTTGTTATGATCATTTTCTTTTAATTTTTAATCTCGTTATTAATTTAATTTTATCTAGATTTCCACAATCGGCAGAGAGGCGAGAAAATTGGATTAATGCCATACTCTTTACAAGGGATCCCAATTGGAGACCTTCAAAACGTGCCTCTATTTGCTCCTTACATTTTCATGAATCGGATTTTTATACCACTAACAAAGGCCTACGGAGATTAAAGAAAACAGCTTTACCTAAATATAAACTAGTGGTAAGTACCTATATCACTTTTACATATTATAAATACAGAGGTGACTCGGTCTCTCTGTGTTCCTTTTCACGCCTAAAGATAAATACCTATAAAGTTTGTTTAACGAAGTTTCAAATGAGTTAATGTTATATGATAGATAAGTTATAATTATATGATACACTAACAAGGTGTTAAATAAATTCAAATAAATGATAGATATGCTAAGTTAAGTTATAAACGTGTATGATCCTGGAAAAAAGCTTAAAACTAGGTGTTAAAAGAAATTCAAATAAATTTTAGATATGTTAAGTTATGAACGTGTATGATCCTGGAAAAGATCTTAAAACTAGGTGTTTTAGGTGACTGATGGCGCAATTACACTTGGTCGTTAGCCCGAATACGATTGCCTATGGAATTCGGACAAACGACTAAGTGTAAATGAACGGAGTCGAGTCGCCCATATCGGACAGTTTTCGTTTTGTTTACCCGACGCCGTCTTGCAGCCCGTGTTCGAGTAAAAACAATGTAATTATTGCATCGGGTGGCCGAATTCCAGTAACGTCTTTCGTGCACCCGAATACGGGCTAACGACCAATTAAGTTGTTTGTGTTAATTATTTCAATATTTTTTTGCAGAATCATTCCAGCCAGCCACAAGATCTACAACATATCGACACATTTGAAATAGACAAACCAAGTACTTCATCTCAAAGATACTGTTCACCCGAGTCTCAAACATTCAAGTCTATTGAAATTCTCAAAGCACCGAGTGACTATTTATTGCGTGAACCGTTACAAGATTTAACTAATTCAACGTCATTTACATCACATAATCTCTTGAATACAACATTCACTGAACTTAAAAATGTAGTTATTAACAAAGAACCAACTAGAACAACTGAAGAGTTTGCTTTTCAACCAAATTGTGAACATCAGGAACCTAACAATACATTTATGCAGAGCTGTTTGCAAGAAAATATTAATTCTCCAATTTCATCTTATTCAGATATAAATTCATATTTAGAATCTCCAAAAACGTATGCCCTTAAAACAAAATTAAGAAAAAAAACTATGCTCGCTGACCTTCGATTAAAAAAATTGAAAAAAGTGCAGAGAATAAATAGAAGATTGATTAAACAGAACTGCTCTTTGAAGAAAATAATAAAAGATCTTAAAGAAAAAAAATATATTACTAGTGACGATGAACAAAAACTTTCTAATAATAATATAATGGCAGCTGAGATATTTAATAGGATGCATTTAAAAAAAAAGAAATGTAAGAGAACAACATTGAAATATCCTGCATTCATAAGAAAATTTGCCCTCACCCTAGACTTTCTTTCACCAGCTGGATACAAGTACGTTAGAAGGGTATTTGACTCGTGTTTACCACATCCGTCGACGCTTAATAAGTGGTATCAAAGCATAGATGGGAAACCAGGTTTCTCGGAGGAGGCATTTCGGGCATTACAAGTTAAAGTGGTTGCAACTACTGACAGACAATTAAGATTTTGCTTGATAGTGGATGAAATGGCCATTAGGCAAAAAAAGATTTTCAACGGGAAATTCATGGAAGGATTAGTTTCATTCGGAGAAAATACAGAGGAAATAGCAACTCAAGCATACTGTGTCATTTTAGTTCCAATAAACGATTCTTTTAAATTACCTTTGGGGTATTTTTTAGTAAATGGCTTTTCAGGCGAACAAAGAGCCAATATTATCAAAAGAACGTTAGAAAAATGTCACGAAGTTGGAGCCA